ATACAGATGGGGTTTCCCATTTGCCCTAATTGTCTCACACAAGGGATCTACATTATCTATCACCACACACTTGGATATCAAACCATTTTTGAGAGCATTGGATCTCCCTGACACGCAAGTGATGGATTGGAACCAACCACCCTCAGGGGCGGAAGGAACCTCCCTCCAGCAAAGACAGCGGGCCTTTACCCCAATGAAGAAAAGGAGACCCGAAAATAGAGTATTCTCACCCAACAGAAGACACCCGCAAGACCAAGGAGATAACCACAATCACCCCGGTCGTGGTCTTTAAATTCCTGTGCCAGGACATCGAGGACCTTGGAGAGCAGGGGAGATACCAACAAGGGAAGACAACCCGACCGACATCTCTACCCTATTTCTCCCCGCCGAGTCAAGGAGCCACGGGTTTCAGCCGAAGGATCGGACTTATATACCAAGACTCTCCTTTCCTCAACCATGGGCATACCGATCATCTAATGCGCAACAGGGACATACCCACCCGCTTACCTTCCCCTTTCCTTTTTCTTTCTTTCTTTCTTTCTTCCTTTCTCTTTACCCCTTTCGGGACACCAGTGACCTGACACTCCCCCCGGAGTTGGTCTGGGACAGGACTCCTGAGAGGCGACAATGTGGGGAGACCGGCTCCGACCAGGTCGTATCATACTAAAGTGTTGTGGTTTACACAATATTGTCTTGCAATATGGGATATATTTATGTCCCCCCCTCCCCCCCCTACCCCCCCATCCCCCTCCTCCCTCCCCCAGTTCCAGTCTCCTGACTGCTCTATTACTCCCCAAGTGTCAAAAAAAAAAAAAAAATCTATATAATCATACTCTAGCACTAGCTTCCCCTGAACTCTTAGTCTCCCAAACGTTACATACCTATACTGTGGTAAACACTGTTCCAGGTATCCTATGTCCACTTACCCACATAAATCAGCGGTTCCTCTCGTGCACGGAGAGAGAGCTAGCACCTTTCCAAATAGCTCAAAGAGCTTTAGCTCTAGACAGACCATAGTCTAGACTCCTAACACCAAGGTAACACTTGGTGAAAGTGTAAGAAATTATGACCCTCTTACAAGGATATTCTTTTAGGGAATGTGTGACAAATAAGACATAAACACAAGTGTATAATAAAATGTATTGTAAATATTCATTTAAGGATACTGTTAGATTTTAAAAGGATATACACAATATACATTATACATTATATCCGGTACATAATCAGAAGCTACATAATAAAAAGCAATACTTAAACATTTAAATGCAGGTCTTCCCCTTGCGCCTTCATCTTGGGTAATCTGGGACAGCCTCTCTTAGTTCACCATGGCCCTGCTTGCTGCGTTGTCCTCTCCAAAGAGAGAGAGAAAGAGAGAGAGCCTTCCTTGGTTGTTGTCCTTTTAAAGACTGATTCTTGGAGTAATAAACTACAAGTCCCAGAATCCCTTTTCCTTCCCAAAAGTGGTTTATCCCGCCCTCTTTCTCCAGAGAGTTCTGTCTTTACACAAGTCTTTCCCTTTGATCTTTTCCCTCCAGCCATACTGTAACATTGTGAAAGACCAGTTGATTAGGTTTCTTGGTAGATTGGACTGCTTGGGAAAACACACACTTGCATGGTTACACCTACATGTCTATTACTCTGATCTCCTGATAACATGCAAGGAATACTGGAGGGATGTAAGCTTTTGTTTTAGCTGGGTGTTGTAAAATGCAACTGAAAGCTTTGATCCTTATCCCACTGTTATCAAGGAAATGACCCCAACTTGTGAAACCAGTCACATACACAGAAAGTTATATACAATATTGCAGTTTGGAATATCAATTTCTTACAGTCCCCACCTAGAGGGCGAATGACTCAACAAGAAAATGAGCCCTCTCAAAGAAATACAGTATTTGAATTATGTGTGTTTTAAATGATTATATGTTTTACTGAGACACAAATGACTTGACAACCACATATATTTATAATTTAGGGAACTGCAAGGCATAATTTAGCCAAATCATTGAGGCACTTACAGTTATCATTTTTCACCATTAATTTGAACTCCTTCAGCCATATCCGTAACCTTTCATTACCCTCATAGGCTCAGCATCACTGCAACCATTAGATTTCACTCCCATCACGCTCAATTACCTGTGCCACCAGCACTGCTTCCACCACACTGTTCCTTTAACCCTGGCCGTGCTTACTTTGGGCTATTAGGCCTCTGACCTCTGCCCACCATGACACCTGGCGTATTTTCACACCCACAGCAGTTAATTTGCTGTTCACTTACATAGTGTATTAAAGAGACCACTCAAGGGAGAAACACAGTTTATTGTTTGGAGTGGGGATCTGAGTGAAGGTGTTTGTGCACGTTCATTGGGAGTTTATTAAAAGTTGTATAGCTGGAGTGGGTTTGTGTTTGAGCCCTTGAGGATGTCTAATAAGCTTTCGATAGGCCCTTGGCTTCTGGAAATTAAAAGATTCGTAGCACAGAAAGTGTGCAGTGTTACATTATGCAAATCACTAGTGGTTTGATTATCATCCTTGTCTCAGTACTACCGTCTGGATTCACAAGTGGTCATCTAAAACACTGTAAACACAAATGTGAGCAAAATGCAACCAGTATCAATGTGTACTAAGAAATACATCCTCATAACAGTATAAAATAATTTACTATAACCTTACTAAAACCATAAATATTTAACCCCTTGTGGAAAACCAAATAGAGCAAATAGAAAATGCTAAATCATATATTGTCACTCACCCCACCTTGACTCAAAAACAATATAAAATATACAAACTGGTCTAATTTGTCTATATGCTATACCCCACCTTGAGAGTATAAATTAAAACAAAAACAAACAAAGAATAACCATTATCATTCTATTGTTCACCCAACCTTGACCCAAGGAAATGTAAAATATATGCAATTATCTGTTTTCCCTATATTCCCTTTAGAGTGTGAAATACAATAAAAAGCATAAGAAAACAACAAAATCAAAGAAGATGGAGAGAGAAAAAAGTAGATTGAATGCTACCATTACCTTCAGTCATTGAACTGTATACAAAGTTTGGCAGCGTGCAATCTAAAAGAAAACTGACAATGGTCTGTTGCCTTTCAAAGATTAAAATCAAAAATCGGCTTGAGGCTATTTGTGTTGGTAACCAAATGAAAAAAAGACAAAAACAAAAATATTTACTGTTGTAAACCAACAGACAGTTACACTATCACATCTCTCCAGTGTGATCAACGTATAAACCTCACCTTGGCAACAATTCATCTAATCTAGAAATATATAAAATTAGTAATCCAGTATCAAAATACAAAAATAAAACATAGCTGGAAGTGCAGGTGTGCTAAACTAATAAAAACAAAAATAATTTGGAATTTGGACCACCTGACTGTAATGAATGAATTTAGAGGCTTATCCTTAATATGAAAAAAATAATATAAAACTACATATTAAGGTCCTCTATAAACTGGAACTGTACTTTCCTGAAATAAATAAACATGTTAAATTGTTGGTCTTCTCACAGGTCTATATTTGTCTTCCTTCTCAATTGGCATCATCTCCGTAGTTTTCTAAAAAAACAAGTTCAAGAGAAAGTTAATATCACACAACTAGAATAGGTCATTCAAGAAAAACTGTATCTGTTATCAGATTCTTTGTGTTAACCATATCCTCTAATGTACTTAATTGTGCCTTGAGACAATCCAGTTTTTCAAGGAACTCATTTCGTTCACATGTTAGAGAAAGATTTTCTGCCTTTAGTTGTCTATTCTGTGCTTTAAGCACATGGTAGGGAATCCAAGGTCTTGTGAGGGGGATACCATTATTATCTTTTCTCTGGGATCTCCACCTAGGGTGATTATTTTTATTTCCCAGAGTCCAACTATCACACATGGGCCTTTCATGATGAATATGCACATCTGATTTACAAAATTTTTCAATATGTCCCATCCTACCACACCTAAAACATGTAATGGATTTTATATGTGGGGACTTTCTCTGATTGATATATCTGTGAGGTTGGGGACTTTGTATCAATGACACTTGCCTTTTATTTACTTTTTCTTGATTTAGTAAAATTGCTTCAGCCCTTCTTAAGCAATTCAGTATATTTACAAAGGTGTCCTGTGGGGACACAGTTAAACCAATTAACTCTCGAATATCTGGCAGTGTCCTATTAAGTAATGCTTTCTTATATGCATATTCATTGTGATCAGCATGTGCTCCAGGTGGAACAGTCAGTTTGAATAAAACAAATAACCTATTTACAAACCCTTGAACAGACTCCCCTCTCTTCTGCGCACAATTACCAAAAGCAAAATGATGATTTATTTCCTCTAGACCAAGTGCGTTTAATAACTCTTTGATAAGTTGTTGCTTGGTTCTAGGTTCTATAAATATCTCATGTGGCAGACTTGCTCTTAGTGACTGGTCTGTACTAGCAATTATAACATCAAAAATATCCAATTCATTTAAGTTTCTGTGGATTTTTTCAAATTGATCAATTTTTAACATAACATCTACTGGATCATCATCCAAGCGTATACATCCCAGTTCTTTGCTCAGTGCAATAACCTCTGTACGTTTTAAGGAATGGGTCACAGTAGTTTTATGTAGTACATTTCCCTGTGCATCCACCATGCGCTCTGTAGAGATTGGTGCCATTTTAGCAGGAATACTGCGCTCACAAATACCATAAACATCTGCAAAAACACCACACTCTATGTTATGTACAACATTTGTATTGGGTTCTGCAGCATTGCATGCATTTCTATTTTGTAATTGGGATTTCAATAAATTCATTTGATACATGCAATCTGAATGATCAGCCTCTTTCTGGCTGCTGGATGCAAGGATCCTAATAGCACCCTCTGCATCCTTCAGCCTTTCTACAAGCTGCTCATTACAACTGTGCAATTCCTCATTTTCAAGACGCATTTGCTGACTACCTACACACAAAGCAGCAGCATTTTGCGCAGACAATTTAAAACCTTCCACTTCATTCTTTAAACTCAAAATGTCTGCCTCTAATTTCTCTTTTTGCCTATTTAAAGATTTATACTTCTCCGCAATCCAACGGGCAGCATAAATCAAGGCAATTTTAGCCCTAGATTTGGACAATTTCTTTTCAATAATTGCCCTGGCCACATAATCCTGAGCATTAAGCCACGGATCTAATGCACCATCCATACATTTAATTATTGCTTCTGGATTAGACACCTTAGCAATCTTTTTCAATAAACTCTCCATCATTGACAACGCACAATTCACTGAAATATCTATACACAATATCTGAACAGTATCCAAAAGTAAATATACAATCTATACAATTATGAATATGCTCATAAATCACACTAAATCCCTCCTACCTGGCTCGCCAATTTGTAAGAAATTATGACCCTCTTACAAGGATATTCTTTTAGGGAATGTGTGACAAATAAGACATAAACACAAGTGTATAATAAAATGTATTGTAAATATTCATTTAAGGATACTGTTAGATTTTAAAAGGATATACACAATATACATTATACATTATATCCGGTACATAATCAAAAGCTACATAATAAAAGGCAATACTTAAACATTTAAATGCAGGTCTTCCCCTTGCGCCTTCATCTTGGGTAATCTGGGACAGCCTCTCTTAGTTCACCATGGCCCTGCTTGCTGCGTTGTCCTCTCCAAAGAGAGAGAGAAAGAGAGAGAGCCTTCCTTGGTTGTTGTCCTTTTAAAGACTGATTCTTGGAGTAATAAACTACAAGTCCCAGAATCCCTTTTCCTTCCCAAAAGTGGTTTATCCCGCCCTCTTTCTCCAGAGAGTTCTGTCTTTGCACAAGTCTTTCCCTTTGATCTCTTCCCTCCAGCCATACTGTAACATTGTGAAAGACCAGTTGATTAGGTTTCTTGGTAGATTGGACTGCTTGGGAAAACACACACTTGCATGGTTACACCTAGATGTCTATTACTCTGATCTCCTGATAACATGCAAGGAATACTGGAGGGATGTAAGCTTTTGTTTTAGCTGGGTGTTGTAAAATGCAACTGAAAGCTTTGATCCTTATCACACTGTTATCAAGTAAATGACCCCAACTTGTGAAACCAGTCACATACACAGAAAGTTATATACAATATTGCAGTCTGGAATATCAATTTCTTACAGTCCCCACCTAGAGGGCGAATGACTCAACAAGAAAATGAGCCCTCTCAAAGAAATACAGTATTTGAATTATGTGTGTTTTAAATGATTATGTGTTTTACTGAGACACAAATGACTTGACAACCACATATATTTATAATTTAGGGAACTGCAAGGCATAATTTAGCCAAATCATTCAGGCACTTACAGTTATCATTTTTCACCATTAATTTGAACTCCTTCAGCCATATCCGTAACCTTTCATTACCCTCATAGGCTCAGCATCACTGCAACCATTAGATTTCACTCCCATCACGCTCAATTACCTGTGCCACCAGCACTGCTTCCACCACACTGTTCCTTTAACCCTGGCCGTGCTTACTTTGGGCTATTAGGCCTCTGACCTCTGCCCACCATGACACCTGGTGTATTTTCACTCCAACAGCAGTTAATTTGCTGTTCACTTACATAGTGTATTAAAGAGACCACACAAGGGAGAAACACAGTTTATTGTTTGGAGTGGGGATCTGAGTGAAGGTGTTTGTGCACGTTCATTGGGAGTTTATTAAAAGTTGTATAGCTGGAGTGGGTTTGTGTTTGAGCCCTTGAGGATGTTTAATAAGTTTTCGATAGGCCCTTGGCTTCCGGAAATTAAAAGATTCTTAGCACAGAAAGTGTGCAGTGTTACATTATGCAAATCACTAGTGGTTTGATTATCATCCTTGTCTCAGTACTACCGTCTGGATTCACAAGTGGTCATCTAAAACATTGTAAACACAAATGTGTGCAAAATGCAACCAGTATCAATGTGTACTAAGGGATACGTCCTCATAACAGTATGAAATAATTTACTATAACCTTACTAAAACCATAAATATTTAACCCCTTGTGGAAAACCAAATAGAGCAAATAGAAAATGCAAAATCATATATTGTCACTCACCCCACCTTGACTCAAAAACAATTTAAAATATACAAAATGGTCTAATTTGTCTATGCGCTATACCCCACCTTGAGAGTATAAATTAAAACAAAAACAAACAAAAAAT